CTGAGGTTTTTTCCCCCTCTCTGTGCCCATCTCTGCAAAGTCTCACCTACTAAAATGATGTTCACCCTGTTTCTGTAGCTTTCTAGAGGTGCAGTTCTGAACACCTCCTCCACCCAATCATTTCTGTACTCCTTATAGGAAATTCCATGTTTGTCTGCCAGTATTTACCCAAATAGCCCTTTTCCGAAAATGAACAACATTTGAAAAGAACCACTTTGTAGGAGGAGTAAAACATGGATTGCTTTTATTTGCAAGCTGATAATAAATGAAAGAAGCCAAAAGTAAAGGTCAACTGTTGATCCAAAATTTTATCCTGTTCATTCAAATCTTTTTGGCATTTAGATTAGCAGGAAAATATGTCTTCTGAAAAGTTCAAGAACTATCTGCTTTGAGATAAACCTTTTCTGCTTACAGAAAATGATTCTGTTGTGACTTTAGGAAGGACAGCACTCCCCTCCTTCTCACACCAAATCAACAGGCTTGCATTCAGAGGCCTTCAACAGCTGAGCTGTTGCAGATAGTGTGAGATAAGAGAGGAGGTAAGTGTCCACACTGCAGGTATTTCCTGGAACCTGCCAGACTGACATGGTAAAGAACAGCATGACACCCACATGTTCACCAATGCTTATGTTTGCTGTTTGGTGTGATGCCTGCACCCTTAGGACTGCAGTTTTGAACTGTGTGTAAGTTTGCCCTCCACGGGACAAGTGGCAACCGCTGGAAACAGTTATAGTTATCACAGCTGGGCTGGCGGGGGTGGGCAGTGTTAATAGCATCTAGTGGGTAAAGGCCAAGGATGGCACTATACACCCTGCAGGATGGTGTCCATAAAGAGTTCTTCAGCCCAACTTGTACCTAGATTGAGAAATTCTGTCTTCAGTTACTTTAGACTAACTCATTTGCAATGAGCGATTTCCGATACGTATTTTTTAGACCCAGCCTCTAACAAAGGTCCGATTCTGACTTTATTTATTTATTCTATATGTATATTTTGAGCACCTACTATTATATAGCAAACCTTGAACAGGTGCTTGAAAAAAATGGCAAGCAGAATTAACCACAGTCCCTGTCCCCAAAAAGGATATACTCTTAGAGGGAGAGGTGAACAGTAAGAGTGTATATAACAGATTGATTCACTATATAATATGGATTGTGCTAGGTACATATTAATTCATTTAATTCTTAAAATGGTCCTGAGGGGCAGGTACTATTATTATTGCTGTCATATTAGCAAGACAACTGGGTCACGCATAGTTCCAGATTAAACGACTTGCACGAGGTCACACATACAACTGATGGTGTGAGTGTGATTCAAAACCACCCCCACTGGGCTCCAGGGTCTGTGTTCTAGCCAGCGTATTATGCTGTCTCACATAAAACAACTGATATGACAGCAAATTACGAAAAAAGAGAAAAACAAGATGCCTACTTCTAAAGGAGGCTATAATGCGATCAGGAGGCCCTGTAGAGGTCTGGAACTGATCAAACTACACAAAGAGAGAAGAGCATTCCAGGCACAGGGACAGCATGCGCATGTGTTTCCTGTTGTGACTGGAGAAAATCATCACAAACTTAGTAGCTTAAAACAGCACACATTTCTCTACAGTTCTGTGGGTTAAAGTGTGAAATAGTCTCACTGAGCTCAAAGGAGGTGCTGGCAGGGCTGCATTCCTTTCTGAAAGCCCTAGGGGACTCTGTGTCCTTGTCTTCCCAGGCCCTGGAGGCTGCCTACACTCTGTGGCTTGTGGCTCCACCTTCAAAACCTGGTTGAGTCAATCTCCGGACAAATCACTCTCACCTTCTCTCCTGCTTCCCTCACACCCTTAATCTTAGCCAAAACTGCCAAATCAATCAGTGGCTGATTTAGTAATCACACACCCTTGATCCCAGCATCAGGCACCCTGGATCCGGCCACCTCTGAAAAGCCTCCTCACCCATGACTGCAGGAGGCTTTGGGGGGACATCTAGATATGAGCAATAACAAGTGTGAAGGACAGAAGAAGCCTGTGTCATACAAACAGCAAGTGTAAGACAGATAAGAAATTAGGCCAGTGAGGATGAGCGGACCAGCAAGAAAAGGAGCTGGAGATCAGACAAGTGATAACAATGGGCTGGGTGTTAAGACACAGAAGCAGGAAGATAAAGATCCAAGAGAGATTTTAGAGTTAAAATCAACAGGACTTCAGGCTGGGTGAGTGGGAAATGCAAAGGAGCCAGGGCTTTGAACTTAGGCAAATGGTAGTGGTGCCATTCCCAGAGAATGGAGCAATTGGGAGGGAATATGTGTGGGAAAGAAGTTTGACTTGGATGCATTGAGGAAAGCTCAGGGAGGCAGCTGAATTTGTGACAATAGGACTCAGTGGAGGGGTCTTGCTCATAGCTGCTAGACAGACCACTAAATGCCCCCAATTCCATATCCTGCTGGCTGCTCAAAGCGTGTATGCCTCAGTTCAAACCTCCCATCTTCCTCCAAGCCATCTCCAGTATCTGCATCTTTTTCCCTTTTAAGATACCATCCTACAGGGCAGAAACCTCTGATGTATCTTGCCAGCCCCTGCAAGGTCCAGCAATATATCTGGTGCTTTATAAGAGGTTAATAAATATGATAGAATAAATAAGTAATTAAACCAATATATATGAATCAATTACTTCTAGATATCTCCTCCCCCACCCCTCTCTCTGATATTTTCTGTCCCACTCCTGTTGCCTGTAGGCAAAAGTCAGGACTGTTTAGTTTGCAAGGCTCTGGGGTCAAATTCTGTTGTGACCCTAACACCTGGAGCCAGGAGACCTTTGACCTACACACTGCAGAGGGTTCCTTTCCCTCAGTAGCTCACCCAGCTACTTTGAGAGACTTTATAAAACTGACACTCACTGCTGGATTTTCTATTTTTGAAGAGATCTGCACCACAAAGCACTGCTATAAACTGATTTATTTGTAAAGTGGTAGTTTTTTCAATCAGATAACTAACCCTGCATGTGTATCATGTTGTGATTTACTGTTCCCTACCCTGTAGGGTTTCCAGTAACTCCACACTCTTCTGCTACACAGAACTGGGGAGGCTGGTGCTACTCACGAAGTCATGCCCCACTGAGCCGGGCCCTTCCTGGGCTTAAACCTTCATATTCAATCAGTCAGAAAAGCATCCGTTAAGCTGTATTAGTCAGTGCAAAAAAATTAGACCTAGTATTCTAAAAGCTCACAGCCTGAGACCATCTTCTACCTTTTTTTTTTTCATGACATTTCTAGGATCATTAAACAAACAATTGGACAAAATACATCAAATTGTTTAAAGAGAATTCTGGAGTTCTCTTCAGGTCAATTGTTAGTTGACTCTATTTCAATAAAACTATACCCAGAGAATTTTCCATTTTTCCGTTTATCCATTATATAACTTTATTGAAGAAGCTACTATTTACCAGAACAGGACAGCATAGAAGACACTTTCTCCAGATCCTTGCTGGGGCTTATATTCAAGAAGGGGAAGACAGGCCATGAGCTATAAATAAACAAGAAAATATTCTAGATCTCAGCGATGACAATAGGATTGTGTGAGATGACCGATAGGGAGCTACCATTTTAGGAAAGTCCTGTCACAATAGCAGATATTTAAGCAGAAACTTGAATAACAGGAAGAAAGAAAGGCATTGACACAAAGGCCTGAAGGAAAACACTCACGTATCTCTTTACTAAGAGCTACACAACAACAGAGTCTGGGTTCCGCTGAATATTATCATAACCACCAGAGTGACTCCTGCATCTGTGGGCCTTAGCTCTGTGAGCCACTCAGTGCAGGTCAGATGTTTCTCATCTTGAGAATGGGATGGTTACCCCCAGGACTACCTCCAGGGTCTCACTTTGCAAAACTCCCTGAAAAAGTATTTACTACAGCACTGCGTGCTTCGGGGCCCAATCAGAGATGAGTCTTTCCCAGGTCCGAAGGGTGTGAGCCCTAAGCTTAACTCTCGCTTATTTATTTTATTTTCATGTATTTATTTTATTTGACTTATTATTTACTTATTTATTTTATTTTCATGTATCATCCACCTGGCTCAAGGCTCCGCTCAGTTCCCAGCTGCAATCCGCTTTGGCACCTTAGAAATGACAGCAGGAAAGCGCTTCCATTCACTCACCTTTTCCTTCACCATTTCCTTCACCACAGTGAAGGAAAGGCCTGAGCTCAAAGGAACCTGATACACTTAGCACCTTGCCTGTTTCTTGCAGGCTCTGCCTAAGCTGGGTTTGGAAATAAGATTCTCGTAGTCGCCTGAGGATGTCACATCCTCCATCACAGGAAGGTCTTTCTGCAATGAGTCCCTCCCAGCTGCAACTTCAGTCCAGTTCTGGGAAATGGTTCTTGATTCTGGAAACGAATAACTGACTCATCCATAGACTCAACACAGCCAAGGAAAGGCTGGTGAACTTGAAAAGGGGTCGAAGGGAATTCAATAGACCGAAACACAAAGGCAAAAAAGAGGATAACATAATAAAATATGAAGCAAAAATAGAGCAGAGCATCCAAGAACTGTAAAACAAAGCCAGTGGTGGAAACGCAGTGGTTACAAGTGGAAAGGTGCTAATGCTTACACAGTCCCTTATTACTTCCTTATTAGAGAGAATTAACTTCAAATACACCCTGAAAATCAGCTCTCAACCTTCATTTCTAAGACATACTCCTTGGCTAGCAAATTCCAGCCTAACGTAGAGACAACCTTAGTAGTAATGAAAATAATGTTCACATGGTGTAATTTAGGGATCATTAATATAGGATTGCCAGACAAAATACAGAACACCCAGTTCAATTTGAATTTCAGATTTTTTAGTATAAGCGATCTTGTACAATATTTGAGTCATACTTATACTAAAAATGTGCTCACTCTTTTCCTGAAATTCAAATTGAATTGAGCGTCTATAATTTTACTTGCTAAGTTTCTGTGCTAAAAGTCACCACACAACCCACTCCCAAGTGTCTCCTTCCCGACCGCCCAGGTTGCCTAACCTGAATGGAGCCTGGCTGTGCATTGGTGCATCCGATCTGCTAAGCAGTATGCTCAGCAGCTTGAAGGAGCATGCTTTGCGAGACAGAGGGGTGACAGGAAGAGAACGGCTGTAGAGGAAGACTGATCTGGACTCGAGAGCTGAACAACCTCTTTCGGAATCAGCTTTACTTCTTACAAGTTGGGCCCTTAACAAAAACAAAAACAAAACAAACCGCCAATGGCAGTGACAGTCCCTGCCCAGCCCCTTCTTGTGCCCTCAGATGATCCTCAGCACCACTTTCACAGGGAACATAATTTGAAAATCAGGTAGAACCATAGTTCATTTAATGGTGGTATTATTGTTACTTACAGAAACAGGAGTGAGCTACCGTAGGCAGGATGATGGGTAAGGGAAGAGGAGGTCTCAGATGGTCTTTGCCCATTTTCTACCCCTTCCCAATTCTATTTCCTATCTAATGATTAGTCAATAACGTTTATTTTTGGGCTTTGCCATCACCTTCTCCCTAGGCACAACCAGCTTCCGTTATGTAACTGCTCTGGAGCTTGGCCTGCTCTGCGTTTGTAGGGGAAACTGCCAAGGGGATCATGCATGGGAGGGAGCAGTGACTCGAGACCCTGTCCTCTGAGTCAGCCTGATGCCAGCCGGGTGAGGTAAGCTGCCACCAGGGCCACCATTCACCTGCTGGCTCCTGGCCTCTCTCTCCGGCAGCGATCTGTACCCCTGGGCTTGGCTAGGGCATGAGTATCAGGGCAGGTTTGCTTCCTGTGGCTTCTGGCTGGCGAGTGGTGCCCTGGATTCCATACATCAGTAGGAGGACAGACAGTGAGCAGACTCTGGTCTGGACTTAGTGCTTGCAATGCAGCCTTCCAGTGCTGCTTGGGCCACCTCTTTGAACTTCAGACCCCAAATCATAGCCTCAACTGCCACATCTGGAAAGTCCTATGGGCCTAACAGACTTACGTGCAAAGCTGGACCTCACGTGCTGCCACTCCTTCAGCAACATATGAGACAGTCCCCAGGTCGAGAACAACATGGCTTAGGAGTTGTCTCTATTATCTAAAAAACAAAAATTCACATGAGCAGTCAGGATCTCTGCGGTCCAATGGTAGCAAATCTACAGCACAAGTGGTGTTTGTGCCATGAGAACTCTAACAGGTTTACCGTTACTGCTCTAGTCTGTGAGAAGAGACAGCATGCTGTGGTGTAGCAGAAGAGGTCTGAACTAGACAGCAACAGAATGGATTCACTGTGCATTCTGGAGAGGCCCGATGAACTTTGTGGCCCGATGAAAGCACCAGGTGTGCCCAGAAGGAAAGCACCGAGGAAGGGAATACTCAGGGTTCTCTACACCGTGAGGATCAGCTGGAGCACATGTCACTGTGTGCCTGCACACACGACTTCCATGGAACAATTTCAAACACAACAGGTCTTCTGAATGCCCTGGCTCTGGTAACAGAAAAGCAATGGGTTTCAAATTCCTCCAGTCAGTAACAGGTGAGCCACATCCAGGCCTGTCAGCTCCACCCACTCATCCCAGGGTATCATCTTGTCTTCCAGCCTTTCAGTGGCTGCCATGGTGATCCTGGGCACATGAGACATAGAGTTAGCTGCTCTGTTTACTTAATGTGCACAGAAAGCATTGGAGTCAAGGGTTCCAAATCCACTTGAGAGAGCTGAGGCTGGAGGGGCCCCTGTGGAAAGGCACGGATGGTCCCCAAGAAGAGTTGCCTCTGGGATGCCCTTCCGAGCACTGTCACCCTGTCTGGCCCACGGCCTGTCTCTCCTTGCTCTCTCTGAAATGGCTTTTCTCTGACCCTCCAGACCAGATCTGGTTTCACTAGACTTGGAACCCAGTGAGCCCTTTCCTGCTGTGAACTGATTTATTTGGATGCATCTGTCAGAGTGTGACGGAAGGGTGTCTGGCCAGCCAGGAGCCCAGCTGTGACAGATGTGGCCTTGCAAAGCAGGCTCACAGAGACTGCCCACCCTCCCCCTTATCCCTCCCACCTCCTCTTGGAAATGGCTTTGAGAGGGTCTGAGGACATCTGCAGAACCTACGAGAACCAGGAAAGAGCACAGGGCATGCTGGGAGCTAGGAGAGTATGAGGAGGCTGGTGTGCTGGGGCCATGTGCCAGGGATCCACGGCTGGACCTTGTGTGGCCATCAGAAAAATATGTGGCTGTGAACAAATCAGTGAGCCTCTAAGTCCCATCCTTTGAGTTGATTTAATAAATTTTGCTGCTACAAGGCTATATAACATAAAATTTACAAATATTAGTCAAATAAAGATACTCTTTATTATAAGTTCCACACGGCAAACCAATCTCCCAGAATGCCTTTGTGGATTTTTGTCAAACTCTACCAAATGCTACCATGATTTGATAAAAGGCTATGCTTGACAATCAGCCTGCAAAACTAGCAAAAAATTTGAGGACTCATTTTGAGCGGTAGTTCCAGTAACCACCAAGCTGCTTCCCATGCTAGCCAGTGGGCACTCTCAGCATTCATCACAGACTGACCAGTCTCCCATCACTGTAAGCATTCAAGCCACTCCCCAGATGGAGCTCATGCTCCTCCATTCACCCAAAGAAAGCCAAGCAAGCAGAAACTGATCAAGGAAGAACAGGTGTCCAAAGGGAGCGAGCCAAAAACTGCTGGTGGCAGGCAGTGGACAGCCAAGAAGACTCTGTAAGCAGAATGAGAAAGAAACGGAGAGAATGGTGGGCCCAGAATGGAAAGAGCAGTGACTGGGGAGAAACTTCCCACGAGCAGGGTTAGCAGAGGTAAAGACAAGATCCAAAGGTGCTACCCCAGCTCTCAGACACTCACACCTTCATCCTTCAAATATCTGTGATCCTGTGTGCAAAGCAAGCTCAACAGTGCCCCTGCTCTGCAGATTGAGTTCTACAGGGGAAGGGAAGAGGCCAAATCAATGGCAAACAAGAACCCCCAACAGAGAAGGATGCTGGAAATAAACAGAATTTACTTTAATAAAAGGGCTTGGTTCGGAACCTAATCCCTAGACATGTTGAACAGGTGTTTCTCAAACAAGTGTGAGGTATAGCTAGGCAAAGAAAAACCAGTTTTCCATGAGGGCTTCTCAAACCCTTGGATATGCCATTGGATGTTATGACTTACCAGTGGGAATGCTATAGTACTTGTCAAATGGGCTTTATGGGTAGAAGGGAAAAGAGTGAGTGGTAGGGTCTAAGGTAAGGATCCAGAGGGCCTGACATCATATGGGGGCCCTAAGGTTATTCTGGACACACAGTTGCTCTGTGGGCTGAGCGTTTGCCCTCTCTGCACTACCCCAGGCCTCCCCAGTAGAAATGCAGCCCCTGGCTCCTGGAGAGTCTTGCCCTGCATAGGAGCTCACTCCCTAGTGCTTCCAGAATCAGAGGCCACCCCTGGGCCGAGGAGCAGCAATCTAGTCTTGGCAGGTAGACCGGCCCCTCGCCCACTGGTTCTTAGCAAACTGCTGAAGAAGTACTGGAGCCTTCTGAGAACTCACAATGGAATCAGTTACACTTCCTAGGGGATTCTAACCTATGTCTCATAGACTGCTAGGCTCCTCCACAGCGACTTAGAAGACACTGAGAGGTTGCCAGGAGCAAAAGGCCTGGGGCTTCTGCCTCATCCCTACATCACAGAAGACCCTCCCCTCCACCACGTCTACTGTAGGACTTGTCTGATCATTTAAAAGAAAAGCACGTTTCCAGCACACCTGCCTCTCCATGCATACAGACTGCCACCCCCTAAACTCTTCTTCTGCCATGAATTTGGCTTTGCCATGGACGCTCTTCACCCTCCAGCCCTGAAGCAGAGAGATGAAGGAGAAAACTCAGGCCAAAGAGAAGGGGTGCAGCAGGGAGCAGAGCAGGGGTGACCCGACCAGGACTGCACCTGCCGCTTTGTGCTTGGATGTGCCCTTCCACCCAGCCCCCACACCGCCTGCTTACGTCCACACCCCGTGATCCCGGGGCTGCTGCCAAGAGCTTGTACCACCCCCTCTTTTGGACCCCCTTTCTTCACTTCACTCAAAGCAGATTTGACCAATTCTGAGCCAGCCCTGAGTGTCGGACATTTCCCCAGGACTGCAGATCCTGTCCACTGATGCTTCACACCACACAGGCACGTCTGGGGGCCACATCAGCAGCCTCCCTCACCGATGAGCTTTCCTGGCATGAGCCCTGGTTCCTGCCATACCAGCAGGATGGGCTGAGCCTCAGCTTCCACCAAGGACTTGAACAGTAAGAATGTTAAGCTCACTAGCTTGTGCCCAGCCCTCTGCAACGTGGGGAGACCTGCTCCTTTGCTTTGCTTCACAATGCATTATAAAAACCAGCAAGCCAGTAGCCAGCGGATGGGCAGAGCCTTCCGTACAGAGAATCAGCAGTAATTTGAAGTGACAGTCACCTTGCAGTGCCTTTGAGAGATTCAAAAAGACATGTTTGCTTTGCAACGGATTCAGATCATTTCCATCCAAATCCCCTTTCTGTCTCCCAGCAGCTGCCCATAAGACAGCTCAACCTCGACAGAGACCTTTACCACTACGATTTTCACAGGAGCCCTGCACTGTCACCCCTTATCTTGCCTAGGAATTAAGTTGCTGGGGGCGGACTAGAAAGGAGGGAGACTCTCACCAAGTGGCAGCATTTTCTGGAGGAGAGATGGCAGTGGCGATGGGGCCACTGTTTGGGGAAGGGGTCAACCCTGCCAGCGGGTCTGTTTCTGGCACCATCTACAGACCTCCCTGGAGCCAGCCAGTCCGGCCAGACTGATTAGGCCAATTTGCTCTTTATCTGGGCCCAGTAGATAAGGCTGCAGCCCCAGAAGGTGACAATGGGATGTGCCCAGGGGAAGGAGACCCAAGGAACACTGTGATGGATGGGGAGAGCAAGGAAAGGCAGATGGTGCCTAGGAGCTGTCTTGTGGGTTGCAAGTGGTTTCTAGGCCAGACCGGGACACTGGACCTCAGCACATGTCCCGTGGAGACATGTCTTTCAGCTTAGGCAGTGTGGAGATCACCTGGAGGGGCCCTCCAAACCCTGGTGGCTGAGTGCCTCCCAGGTTCTGATAACCTCATCAAGATCTGTAAATCTGACAAGTTTCCGGGCACACCCCAGGGCAAAATTTACCCTAGGCAGCCACACGGAAACCCAGCTTTCAGCTTTTCCTCTCCTTCCCTCACTGCTCTCAGAAAGCAAAAGGCCCAGAGTCTTCACACCCAAGAAAACCACTAGCAGGGAGAGGAGACGTAACCTCTCTTGCCACAGTCCTGGATGGTACAGACTCTGTGATATGGGACCTTCCCTCACGCCATGGTCCTCAGTTGTAGAAGGAAGAAGTTGGATGGAGTAATCTTCAGCAACCCCCTTCCCACATGAGAATTCCCTACTGCCGCGGAAGGGAAGAAAGCGCCCATCTTACCCTGTGAGTTTGCCTAAGCCCAGCTCATTCACACTACTACCCGGCCCTGTATGAAAGGGCTCCCCCAGTCTCCCACCTCAGAGGAACGGAGGTTCAAACCCAGAGCCTCACACTGATCTCCATCTCTAGCCTTCTTTCATTTTTTATTTCTTTGAGACAGAGTTTCACTAAGTTGCTGGTTGCCTAGGCTGGGCTCAAATGTGGATCCTTCTGCCTCAGCTACCCAGAACACTAGCATTACAGAAAGGCATTCATCATTTTTGACACCCAGCTCCCAAATCTTTAATTTATACTCAGCAAAATCCCTAAATTCCTGTCCAAAGACTTTACTAGCTGTCACGATCCCCTTTGCAGTTCTGTGTCCTTCTCTTTGCCTCTTCCTAAGATTTAAGATTTGATCAGAATTTTAGTTCTGTGGGTAAAGACATTTGATGCATTTTTAACATCTAAACCCCAGGTACCTTCCTCTGGGGTCCTCTGGTGTGGCCCCAGAATTGAACTTTGCCTACAATCATCTCCCGTCAAGGCTTCCAGATGCTGCCTCCTGCCAGAGTTAGTCACCAGGGTCGTACTGAAAGCTACCTGCTTGCTGGGTTATAAACTCAACCCAAATCACAGTGGGGAG